TTAAATCCAATTGTTCTGATGAAGGGTGTCATCCAGGGTGTCATTCAAGATAGAACCGCCACTGGTGACCATTGTGGGTTTTTCTTACTTTAACGGAAGGGTACCAACAATTTTGTCTACGTGTGTGTATCTATATAGAAAAAGTAAAACCAATTACCAATAGGCCTGTCCACAGAAAACATGACAATACAAGACATTCACTGTATCCACATTCAACAGCTTGGAGTATTCACATCTTGGCATCTTGGTTTTCTTACATGGATATTAGGTCAGCCATTTTCCTCCTGCAGCCCTGTGATTGGTATCATTTGTTTGAAACTATGAGACGTGTAATGTCTTTTATACTGATCAATTGCCAGACCTTTACATTCAAATTCCCTACCCAAAACTGGTGTATATAGTCCTACTACACCTACATGATTAAAAACAGCTTTACTGCATGTAGTTTATATGCAAGCAACTGTCACCAACCCAGTTCTTTCTAAAAGCAATCTTTGGACCTGTCTATAAGCAGTTTGATTGACGGTGTCTGTAGCCATAGCTTCTTGAACTTCCACAATAATCCTATTCATTTGTTTCTCTTCCAGATGATGAAGAAGAAGCTTCCTCTCTGGCTCAGGCTCTCTCCATGATCAGAGAACTTCTTAGTTCAATTGACCAACAGGTACCAAAATACTGTCTGAGTAACGCATTGGCTATAATAGAAGATGATTTTGTGCCACATCTTTTGCAGCTTAAAAGATGTGTTATTCAACAGCATCAGCATGAAAATGAAAGAAATACTGTAGTAGTCACAAAGTAGCCTGCACGCTGGTACTGCCACACACCAGGACAGACTGACTTAATATTTTTTATACAAATGTAGGAATAACTTATTACATTTACACAATTTACAAGTGACTACTACTACAAATAATTCAGAATATATTTTGAACACAGTTTCAAATCAGGATAACGAGAATGAATTAAAATACAGGGTGTAAACGCAAAGGCAAGATTAGATTGTTTATTGTTTATTAGGCGTAAATAGGGCCAAATTAATGTAATGTAATCATAGAGACTAAGCAACAGTATTTAAAGGTATCCTGGTAACCTAATGATCTGGTACAGATACTGTGAAACCCAACCCAAGAATCCCAACTTGATATCCACCCTTGATCCTGTGCACCATTCTTATTTCTTCCCTATGTGCCTCTCTATACACTCAAACTGGCCTGGACAAAAGTTCAAAATGGCTACTTGAAAAAATATTTGAAAAGAGGTGGCAAATCCATATAAGTATTTTTACTAAGGTCAGCACCGATTCATATATTGGATCAGTTTAAGATGAACAAGTGCACCAGTTTTTTTGTAATGTCTTGTAATGTAACTGCAATCAGATCAGTAATTCATGTTCATTAATTCTCTCTATTGGATTTGGTTGGCAGATGGAGGACCTGGAGAAAACACAGCGGCTGCAAGAGATCCAGGCCAAGCTGGACCCGAGGACTGAGGCAAGAGTACGGGATGGGGGACTTTTCAAGCCTGGAGAGTTGCTCCGCCGGAGACTCGTCCACGAAGGGACCCTTTTCTGGAAAAATCCAGGATCCCGGGCCAAAGGTACACAACACTGTGGAAGTATTAGTGGGTGTGGAAGTACATTACATGTAGTGTTGCAGAGAATCATATCATGTTAGCTCTGCCTGGCACTACACATTTAAAGCTGCAGTAAGTATTTATATAACTTATAGATTTTTATAGAAATGTTGTGTTCTGACAGTAGTACATGAGACAGATAATCTGCTCCTCCTAGTGCTCCTAATAGCAAACCACTGGCCCAGAATTAAAACAACCAATCAGAACCAAGAAAGCTATTTGATTGTTGAGTTCCATTCCCAGGGTCCCATAATGTCTGTATTTGACCAGTTATTTTCATAAAAGTTTCCTACAGCAGCTTCAAGTCACGTTACCTGCGGCAAAAATTGGCCCTTTAATTCTGGATCAAAACGATGCCAACATAACTACATCATGATGCCAATTTGTAAA